CTGTTGAATGCTTTCTCATTCTCAAGAATCTCTGGTGAATTTATTGGTGTTGTTTCTCATTCTCAAAGATCTGTTGGGTTGGTTGGCATTCTTGGGAATCTGTTATTAGTTTTTCATTTTTTTTATTCTGAAGAATCTCTGTTGAATCTATCGTGGTTCCCCAATCTCAACGAATGAAAATCTCTGTTGAATCTGGCTAGTTTGTTTTTCATTTGCAAAAATATATGTTGAGCTGTACTTCATTTTTGCAGAATTTGTTGAATGTTTCTCATTCTCAAGAATCTTTAGTAAATTTGTTATTTGGTTTCTGTTTTTCAAAGATGTCTGTTCAGTTGCCATTCTTGAGAATTTGTTACCAGTTTTTCAGGTTTTCCATTATTTCATTCTGAAGAATCACTGTTGAATTTGTCGTAGTTTTTGTGTTTCCCATTCGCAAAAGTATGGCTCTCTTTTTTATTTATGGTTTGCTTGCTCTTCCTACTTCGAGGCCCTGTTTATTCAACTTCTGCTAAACGATAAACTGTCAGATAATGCAATCTAACGGATAAAAATTGGCCAGGTATCCGCCGACCAAATAGAATTATTTGAGGTCCAAAATAATCATTCAATTACAATAGCTTTGAAGTCTAATTTTATGCTAAATGTTAAAATTATTGTTTTTTTTTTGATGATATTATCAATGATATTATTTTAGGTTTTCAACTAAAAATGCTTGTAACGATGGCACGTTGTTTGTGTTTTGCTATTTTCGTTAAAACTATCAAAAATATGTGGTAGGTACCTATATTATGGGTCAACACTTTGATGTAATTTTTCATTTCCTATAAAAAAATTATTTATACTAACAATTTCTCAAAAAATTTATACTTTTCAAGATAGGTACTTAGTTATGTACGAAAATATCAACACAATCATTTTTTTCTAACTTGCCATTGCAATATTTTATGGGACTTTTAGTATGTCATTAATGGTCATAAAAACAATAATATATTTTCGTTGAAAAACCCCTCGTCTTCAATTTGTTCCACCCCAACTGCCAATTTGACCACACTAATGATGCGTCATCCAATCCAATAGGTTGTTGGTCCTTGTGTTGTGATAAATGAAATTCAGTTACAGCGTGGTAGGTACTGCGGTTAGGTACCGTTTGCTCGTTTGCTCAAATGCTTTTACAATTCTCTCTGAAAGTTAATATTTCAGAAGTGGGATCAGTTTTATAAGTTTAATAATTTGCAAAATATGAGTGACTAAAATAAACTATGAAAATGGACAATACCTGAGGCAGCCTGCAAAAATACCAAGTAAACAGGGCCTTTCAATGCAAAATGTAGACAAATTAAATAGTACCTACCTATATCTGAAAAACTAGTGAAATTATTAGACGAAACAATTACTTAGTACAACATGCAAGTGTTCAAGAAAATGTTGGAAAAGCTGAATTTTTGCATTTGTTCAATCCGGAATATTTGGAAGTTTTCTCGACTAATTGGTTAAAATTTGATTGATGACAAAGTTGAACACGAAAGAAACAACTGGAGTGATTCTACGAAATCCTACCATGCAGTCTCGCCTCTGCTATATGCACTTTCGCCTGGACGAACAACTGGGACATCGAGTAGGACATTCAATGGAAAAGTGCTGCTTCAAAGACAAGGTAAAGATTCAAGATGTTAGGAAATTACAGGGGCAAGTGTCAAATACTTTACTAATCATAACTTCATAGGCCTTTCTGAATATACAGGGTGATTCAAAAGTAAGCGGCATCCTTTCGGGGGCGTATTCCTCGCATAAAAATAAGACAAAAAGTTCCTATTAACATGGGTCTGGAAATGCTTCCTAAGGAAGCTACGCCCCTTCGAATAGGTCACCTGAAAGACGAGTTTTTCTGTATAACTTTAATAATAATAATAATAATAATAATAATAATAATTTATTAACGATCAAAGACCATTTACAATAACATTCATTTACATTAAACTTAAGTAATTCTTAATGTCTATCTTAAACTTATTGAAAGAGGAGTTAAAAAAATCAACAGTAGGTGGAAGCCTATTTGCTTCTCTGCATATTCTAGATATAGGTGAATAAAAACCATAATTTGTTACATGGGAGGATACACCAAAGGTTATATTTTGTCGAGTTTGTCTTGTTGGTACCTTAAAATTAATTAGTTGCAATAATGCCGGTGAAACAATTAAACCGTTCAAAACCCTGAACAATGTGCACAGATCAAAATACAATCTTCTTTGAAACCCTTCACAAATGAATTTTGAAAATTGGTGTATTTTATAAACATTTGATGGCAATTAAGATACTAAATTGAAAATTCAAAAATCTTAATCAGTGTCACATACTGGGAAGGGTGAAAACATCCCTATTTTTTTTTTTACTCGTCAGGATTTTGTGAAACATACGCAAATCAAAAAACTTTCAAAGTCAATTTTCTTGTAAACGGTACGCTGTATCGAATTAAACCAAGAGTACCTTTTCTGTGTAAAAAACTGTAAACTTTCTGAATTTTCAATCAGAATCGCAAAAACCTGACGAGTAAAAAAAATAGGGATGTTTTAACCCTCACCCTCCCCACCGATTAAGATTTTTGAATTTTCAATTTAGTAAGTATCCTAATTGCCATCAAATGTTTATAAAATACACCAATTTTCAAAATCCATTTGTGAAGGGTTTCAAAGTTATAGAGAAAAATACGTTTTTCAGGTGTCCTATTCGAAGGGGCGTAACTCTCTTAGGAAGCATTTCCGGACCCATGTTAATAGGAACTTTTTGTCTTATTTTTATGCCAGGAATACGCCCCCGAAAGGATGCCGCTTACTTTTGAATCACCCTGTAGATAATTTTTTTTTGAATCTATAGAAAATGACACTCGCCACTACTTTCCAGTCGAGTTCCCATCAGTAAGCACATCTGTGTTATTTTTATTATAATACGAGTTCAAAAATTGTATAGTTTTCAAACTTAAGCGAGCCCTAAAATTTCTTGATTTTAGGTTTAAAAATAAAACAAAGATAAATTTTACCAACAATTTTCCTGCTGTATGATTTTCCAAAATTTGAATTTCAATTTCGAGGCTCATCATCTTGAAAACTATTTGAGATAAATTACTCAATTTTGTTTTATTCTGAAGAACATTTAAGTAGTTCAGCAAGAACAATTTTGTGAAGTAAGTCTGATGAACAAAAAATATTTTTACCCCTCCCTTTTGATTGGTGAAGTCAAATTTAAAAAAATTTCATGATCTAATAGGTAATATTTCAAAGAGCCATATTTTGGAAACCAGGAAAACCATCCGCATGAAAATTTCGTCTGTTTTTTTATCTCAATTGGGGCTTTTAAAAGGTTATTTGGGGTACTGAGCCCTAAGGCTTCATTTTCAAGATATTTGGCTTTGATGGTTTTCTAAAATTCAAGACAAAGGTTTCAACTTTGAGGTTCAATATCTCGAAAACTGTTTCAGATAAATAATTCAATTTTGTCATCCTAAAGACTGTTCAACTATGATTAAGAAAATAGTTATGAATATGCATTAAAATTTAGAAAATATTCATTGAATTATCAGCGATTTTATGAGGCAATGTTGGATGATCAAAATTTTTCTGGGTTAAAAATGCAAAAATCATTTTTAGTTTTTTACAGGTCCTAAAACCTCAATAAGAGAAATCACGAAAATGCTTTTCTACTGAATTTAACCCCCTCTTTTGATTGGTGAAGTAAAAATCTGAGAAATCTAGAAAAATCAAAATTGAAATGAGGGTAGGGTATGCGAGGAGGAAATTTCATTTTCTAATATTTCAACGGGCCCTTGAAAGGGCCATATTTTGAACACTATTTCAGATACATGATTCAGGGTTAAATCTACCCGCTTCGACTCCGTGGTACACTTGTGCGTTCACTATTTTATGATTATTTACCTAGGTCTTGGAGAATATTCTGAATAAAGTTTGATGGTATTACAGAGACTTTTTTATTCGGATATTGGGTTTGAATTATCCTTCTTTTACCCTTCGGTGATGTAATTTAAAACTCTGATCTATAAAGTGGGTACACCCCTCGGTACACCCTAGGTTTTTGTAGTACCCTCCTTGGTAGTACCTATTATTACATAAAATACAGGGTGTCCCACGACATTTCTCCTAGGTAATAACTTCGGAATGCGTCATCCAATATAATTGAAATTTTCAGGATCTGGGTAACTTTTTGTGCCGCTTCTACCATTGTCATCAAATTTCACCACTTTCGCTTCACTTTCGGTCAAGTGACGTCATCTTTCGAATCTTAAATGAAAATTAAATTACAAAATCGGCAATGCCATATTTGTTAAGGCTTTGTTAAAGAAAATGATAAAAAATTATACAGTGTAACATATGATGATGCGTTCCGAAGTTATCATTTGGGAAAAACCTCGTGGGACACCCTGTATTATAAAATTTAATTTGAACAGCACATCAAATTTAGTAATGAAGTACTATTTATACATTAATTTGCACTACTTATTTGAGAATGCTCAAAAAAATGTATGTACATTATGGAATTATCAATTTCTGCACTAAATTCTAAGCACAATATTCCATATCCCTACCTAGTTCTGTCATCATCATTTTCAGAATATTATGACTCTAACCATCAATCTTTTTGCCACTTTATAGATGGCAGTGCTCTTAAAGTCACCAGAAATTTAAATTTCATAAATAATTTTTAAACATGCTAAGATTAGCTAGGTGGGTAGAATATTATAATATGTTAACCGAGATGTTAACGCTTCTGAAAATATTTTGGAAAAATAAAAACGCAGTTTGGTCCTCTATTGAAAAAATTTACTGTTGTTCAATCCCCTGCTTAACTAAGACTATAATACAGATGTTGAAAATGATATTTTTCCTACCTACATAATAATTTGGATTCACAATAAAGTAGGAATGAAAACTACCTCTCCAAAGCCATAATAAATTTTACTCGAGTTCTGACACCTGGTGAAATTTGCAACAAAAAAAAAAACAATCATTTAGTTAAATCAAAAAAGTCAATATATTATTCTACTCAGTGAAATATATTTAAACATAAAATTTCTTAGTTGATCGAAAGATTTTTCTACGGAGCATCCTCGGGAGCATTCAATTCATTTAGATTTTTCATAAAGTTTTTAAAAGCTATAGAACTGGTTACTAGTCCCTTAGGTTCTTGTACTAATTGTGTTGTTGGGCCGAATTTGTCAGTAGTAGTTAATCTATTCCGCATGTTGCCCAAGTGCTTCGGCAGAGTAACGCTCAGTGTATCTTGGATCTAGAATCGAAAGCAGAAGTTTCAATTGTCTAGACCTAATTTTTCCCAAATTGAATTTTTCACCTTTGGAGGTTCGATAATGTATTTTCTAGTTACTTCCACAAATTTCTGATACCAACAAGGTGTTTCAGGACTGGATTCAATACTTTCTGTCTCCCACTCGCTGTTGTTCCTAGTAAGTGTGCTCTAAAAAGATATAAATTATTCACCTACCTACTCATTTAATATTAATAGTTAAAAAAAAAAAAACTATTTCCGCTAATGGCATGACCCATGTTATCATGGTCATCTCACTATCTATGGTGTTTTTTTTTGAAACTAGGTAGCTATTCGATAACATGAGCTAATCGTAGTGGGATTTTTTAAATTTGTTTCAAATTCTCTGAATTTTACTTGGACTTGGGTGGCATTCAGATCATCTGTGGAGTTTCCAGAAGAGGTGATTGCGGACTAAAAATGTATTTATTCAGATTATATTACTATTCCATCATATAAGTGCATAAAAATATTATTACCTCTAAGGTTTCATAACTTGAATTGTCATTTTCACCACCATCACTAATAATTGTGGTTGAATTTCTCAAATTTGCTTCAAACTCTTTGAGTTTAACCTGGGCTTGGGTGGTATTTAGAGCATTGGCCTCGGCATTAGCTAAGTTTCCAGAACTTGTAACAGCGGACTAAAAATGTATTTCAAAATATAGCTATTTGATAATACAAGTTCCTATTATTACCTCAAAAGTTGCATAACTTGCATTGTCATATTCATCACTAATAATTGTAGTTGAATTTTTTACATTCATTTTTGTCTTGCTTTCTGTGTTATTTAAAGCATCGGTGGAGTTTTCCGAAATTCTTATTTTGGACTAAAAATGTATTGATTTAAAATATAGCTATTCAATTATGAAAGTTAAGTAATACAAATATTTCCTTCAAGATTTCATGACTTGATTGTTCATCACGTTTTTCATATTCATCACTCATAATTGCGGTTGATCTTTTTGAATCGATTTTTACCTGGCTTTGGGTGTTATTCAGATCGAGATTTAGACTTTCAATGGAGTTTTCAGAAATTGTGTTTACGGACTGAAAAAGTATTAACTTAAAATAATAAAACGATCATAAAGGGCAATACATATATTATATCCTCCAAGGTTTCATTGCTTGAGTTCTCATATTCATTGCTGATAATTGTGGTTAATTTTTTTAAATTTATTTGTACCTGGCTTTGGGTGGTATTTAGAGCATCATTAGAGTTTCCAGAAATGCTGATTGAGGACTAAAAATGTATTGAATTAAAATATAGCAATTCAATAATACAAGTACCTAATTACAATTGCCTCCAAGGTTTCATAAGTTGAGCCTTCAGATTTTTCATATATTGTGGTCAAATTTCCAGATTTTTTTTCCAATTCGTTGAGTTTTCTTTGGTCACCAGAAAGAGTGAACTTGGGCTAATAAGAATGTATTATTTGAAATATGATTAATAAAACAAGCTAGGAGAAATAGTACTTCCAATATTTCATTGATTTGGATGTCATGTTCTTCACTATCCATGGTTGAATCTTCAGCGTTTAGTTCCAATTCTTCTAGTTTTTCTCGGCTTTGATTGGTATAAGAAAAGATGGCCTTAGGCCAAATATATGTATTATTTGACATAAATAACAATAAGTACATTTAATTAAAAGAAATATTACCTGCAATGTTGAGTGGTCCAAATAATTACTGTTCAAGATTGAAACTCCAAAACGTTCTTCCACTCCTTTCAGTTTTTCCAATAAATCCATTTCTGATTCTGTGACTGCATTTAGATTGGCATCCGAGCACTGTTGAAGATAATTAAAAAATTTAGTAAAAATTTAACCAGACTTAGTGGCAATTTTATTTCTAAAATATACCAGATTTGATTTTCTCTGTATTCATTAGGCACTCCTATCCGAATTCGGATATTGTCAGCAAAAAGGGAGGCAATTTTTCAAGAAGAAACTTACTCGAGTAGAAGGAGGTCTTTTAGTCTCCCCACAAGGCATGTCCATACTCTTTAGCATACAATTATCATTCTTATCATCTATTTCCAGTAACTGCTCACTACTCTCAGTACTGTATTCAAGTTCAGATGATAATGGTTGCTGCCCTTGATTGACAAATTTGGAGAGGCTTTTGGTCAATTTAACAACTTCATTATCCAAAGTTAGATCCAAATCTAGGATTTTATTTTCTATTTCTTTGTGTTTGGCTAATATTCGACTGAATTCTCTAAATTTAGCCTCTGCAGCTTGCGATCTCTCTAACAAAGATTGAAACTCTGTCTTAGTGATGTTTAATTCTTCTGTTAGGGCTTCACACTGTTGGAACAAATATGTATTTTGTGTTTTGATTTCTCTATATTCATTTGTCAGAACTGTTATTTGTTTAGTCAATTCAGTTTTTTCTTCGAGGACTTCAATTAACTTTCTGCTTAAATATGAATGTTCTTCAATCGAAAAATTTTGCAGACGATGCATTTCTTCGTCCTCTGTTTTAAATTCGATTTTTACTTTTTCTCCAACTCTAGAAAGTAGGATATATTATGATTCGTTTGGTAGCAAAGAATCTCGCAAAGAATATTATAATACATACTTTGATAATATAGTCCAGGCTACTCGGCTTATTGTAATAATAACCATTATGAATAATATGATGGCCGCAATAGCTAATAGCGAGCTCGGATTTACAGAAAGCATTGTCCAGGATAGTTGACTTGCACCAAATTGTGGTTGGTTTAGGTCGGGTTTTTTACAAAGATCTTCTACTTCTAGAAACAACAATAATTTATCACTAGACGGGAAGCGGGACGGGAAGTAGAACACTGCCTATACAGCTAAGGTCTTTTTCACGTGAAAATTTCATAATTGTGTAGAATGAATGCTTAAATTCAAATTATTTGGAAGTTGTTACATTAAATAGAGCGTTATTTATTAAAATTTAAAATCTAATACCTTCGGAGGTTCTCGAATACATGGTCGGGATTCTGAAAAGGTCTGCCATGCGAAGAAACATCGAGAAAACGATTCCATAGCCAAGTAATATAACCAAACTAAGCTTCAGCTTCATATTGTTGGAGTTTTCGTCAAAAATATTTGATAGTAGTTGTATTTAAAATACAATTCAGCTATAAAAATAAATAAAATTAAGGTATAACTAAAGGGTATATGAGCGTATAAGCTTTGAATGACAATCTGATTGTCATTCAAATGAGAGGTTCGAAGCGGCCAATGGGAGCGTTCCTCAATTGGCCCCAATAGCTAACTAAAACCTATTTTATTGAATAAATCTGAGTTTTGCTAGATTGTGTAGAGAAAGGGCTGAAAAATTACAAATTTGCTTTCTTGAATTTATTATTCTTGACGTTTTCTAGCCTCGTTTTTCAACATAATGAATTGAAAATAGTGGAAATTTGTATTAGATATATTTTTTAAGTCCTAAAAATAAATATTATACAGGGTGTCCCACTAAGGTCGACGAGGTACAATTAGGCAATTCAAACCACGTGACACTCAAGATGGCGTCGCGGCCACACATGGGCCAGAAAACACAAAAAAATATGTAGTTTCTGCCCGATTTAATAGTCTAGGTACCTAGTCGACAAATATCGTATTAAATAATCAAAATCAAAGTTACAAGCAAAACTCTAAGCAAAATAATTTAAAATACACATAAAAACATATTCAAAACAAGCTTGCATGGCCGCCACGCCATATTGAATTTTCCTTTGTGACAGATTGCCTAATATTATGGAAATGGAATATTTGTATATAACTTTAGAACAAATGCAGATATTACATTGCGGTTTGCGCCAAAATGTAGATATTTTTTTGCTCTTTAAGCACGGCAATAAAAAAATAATACCATGCCATTTGGATTTTTCAAGCCAATTAGAAAAAACTGGATCTTGGTTGAACAGCGCCCTCTAGAAGAAGTGGTGTTCCTAATAATAATGAAATTTTCTTTCAAATAAGCCCAAATTGAATGAGTTTGGATCAGGGATATGGAAGATATAGCAATTTTTAGAACCAGCTTCCTCCACCCTTATTAGTGAAGATATGAAAAAAGCCTAGTAACCAAACTGGCGCAAAAATGAATGAACTTTTGATTTCTGTTGTTAAAACAGTATCTTAATATAGTGATTTCTTGAGAAAATTTGAATTTTTAGTTATATCTACAGTGACTCTATTACCCACAGTGGCGACAATTGCTGTCTTATTTTTGATTGGTTCTAAAATCCCATATATTTATATTGAAAACAACGCCGCCATCTTGTTCCCACCTATTGCTTATTTCAAATATGAATATATGGGATTTAGGTGAATATCCATCATAAAACAGGGAAAACAACGTATTTGATAGATTTTATAATGGTCATCAAATATGTCGATTTCAATTTTTTATGATAGATGTCCATTTAATCTTATATATCAATATTTAAAAGTAACTAGAGGTTGGGAACAAGATGGCGGCGGGACCTCTATTGTCGCCACTGTATGTAAAGGTTTATTTAGCCACTGTAGTTATATCATCATAATTGCGCCCCCTAGCGGTCATCTTAGAAACTTGAAAATAATATCCATCAATTTCTCTTGGCCGATTTAGTGAAAAAAAAAATCCCGAAACCGCAAGGTCTATGGTTTTCATAATATCTTACCTTGCTGACATTAGTGAGATACCCGGTACCTATTCAATAAATTTGTTTCCTCGAATGATATACTACTTTTTCTAGACATAAACTATTACAAGATCAATAACTCACACAAAAAATCCCCCTATTTCTTTTTGTGGCTCAATACCTACCTTTCTACCAAAAAAATGTTGATTTCCTAAGGTTGAAGTTATTTCCAGAACCAGAAACAGGAAACCAGAGCGTATCGAAAAGTTTACCGGAGCTTTGGAATCAAATTAGAATTTCAGAAATGCACCAGAACACTCCCGAACTTTCAGAACCATTTAGGAAAGCTTGAAATAATTTAAAGTAGGTTTAGATCCAACCTAAAATTTCCAGGAGTATTCTGGAGCGCCCTAGAAAACTCTGAAAACCATACGGAACTTTTGGAAACAATCTAAATCTGAAAACTTTCAGAATATCTTGAAAATCGTTACATGACACTTTATAGAACTAACTTAAAACTCTCTCGTCGGGAGAACTTTCAAAAAAACCGGGGGGCTGCGGCCGAACATGATGCACTGCCTTAACACAACGGTTGTAAAGACAGCAATAACCTATGCGTCTTTGATATGGTGGACAAAGACACAACAAGACAGGGCCAGAATGAGACTTGGCAGGGTGCAAAGACTTGCCTGTCTGGGCATTACAGGGTGCATGAAAAGCACACCAACAACAGCTATGGAAGTCCTACTAGAGCTACCTCCGCTACACATTGTAATTCAGGCGGAAGCCAGGATGGGCCTCCACAGACAACGAAACAACCTGAGCAAACTATCAGTCAGATCGGGGCCCGTATTCTCTTCACCGGAAAACAGCGTTCTCTCAAGAGAACGATTGCTCTGTCTTAGTCAGCCATATTGTTATTTCCATAATACTGACAAAGTTAAGAGAACACTGTTCCCCGGTTACAAGAATACGGGCCTAGGCCACACGCAAGTAGGAAGTCATAAATCTGGCATAAAATCGACATGATAACTGACTATGCACTTCTCAAATTCTCACCCGTCATATCCTTCCAAGTCCTAATTAGTGAAAGGGAAGAATGGGAAAACCAACATGCACTTTCCAATCTCAAAGGCCAGACATGGTACTTGGACGGGTCAAAGACTGAGAATGGCACAGGCGCAGGAATCTACAGTCAAGAAGGAAGATGCGAGACCTTCTTCTCTCTAGGTCTAGGGTCACATACATCTGTTTTCCAGGCAGAGGTATATGCAATACTACAATGCGCAAGAATCAACAATATGAGGGCCTGAAAAGACAGGAGACTCACTTTACTCACAGACAGTCAGGCAGCACTGGGGGCATTGAAGAACCCTAAGGCAAACTCTGCACTGCTAACAGAATGCTGAGAAGAACTCAACAACTTGGCGGACCAAAATCACGTCATATTGATATGGGTGCCAGGACATAGAGGTATTCCGAGCAACGAAAATGCTGATAAACTTGCACGCAGAATACCTTGGTCCCGACCACCTCTCGAAGTGCCCAAAAGCACAGTAAGAAAGAAGCTGAAGAAATGGATCAAAGCAAAACATGCTCCATACCGGAAGCAAATACCCAAGCAACCAATCTTCATACATGAGACATGCAGCAAAAGAGCAAAAAGACTGCTATAACTAAGCAGGAATCAACTCGGAGTAGCAACCAGCTTTTTTACTGGGCACATTCCAGTAAAAAAGCACCTGGAAACAATGGGCTTGTACAACGGAGACACGAGGTGCAGACTATGCGGAACAGACACCGAAACAGCCCAACATATTATAACAGAATGCGATACACTAATTAAATCATATACTTGTAAATTTATATCAGATTGTACGTATGTAATATTATTATTATTTATCATCTATATTCAAAATTTCAAATTGATATTTTGAGCCATTTAGGAGAAACACATTAAAATGTCTCGTGATACAAGTTGCCAACTGTTATAGTTTCTGAGAGAAAAAATTGGAAAGTTGAAATTTAGTTAATTCCTATACACAGTGGTTACACCATAGTTAAAATCAGGCATTTTTTTCTATTGCAACCTTAGATGAGAATAAATTATTATTTGACTTTCAAAACTCTACTGACCGATAGGATGCACGCAAAGTGGCAATGCCAGATCGTCTTCTAAATTTTATATTGATATTGTGCTTGCAGTCACTGAAATTCAAGACAATTCTGATAGTTATTTGAATCTGTTCTTCTTCATTTATACAGTTTCTTATGGTAAGTTGCTTTTTCTGATCCTTGCGACTGTTCTTGTTAAGTTTATTTTGTTGAATTATTTTTTAAAACTTTTTCCTCAGGGTTTGTAGCTTTTATTATGATATATCGTGGGAACTTTTTTTAGACGATTAGAGATGGTTTTTTAAGTCCCTTCTTTTAACTGATTTCTCTGGAATAGTTATGAGCTTTATCAGCAGGCAGCAGCAGAACTTCTATATACAACGTAGAAATAAAAAGCTTGCTAGAAATTCTGTTTTTTTTTTAAAGGACTGGATGATTTTAATAAGTTACCTAAGTAATAATTTTAAAAATAGTTTATCTCTGAATGGTTTCAAGAAAAATTTAAAATTGTTTTTGCTTAGGGAAAATGATCTTGTTTCCTAAGTCAGCATAGTATTTGTACATTTAACGAGACATCTTGATCAGGTTTTTGTCCGTTTTATCCATTCTGACTCTTGTCTTTGTCCATTTTAATAATTGTACAGTTCTATTTTGCAATGATGTTTTTAATTGTTTTGTTAGAATTTCTGTTTATACTTTGCTTTGTAAAATGGTAAAACTGTAAAATTTTGTAAACTAGCGTGTATTTGCTAAATAAAGGATTATTATTATTATCTAAAGCTTATGGCATCGATTATTGAGGTTCTTTTTTTAAAATTTGTCCATCTGAAGTTTCTGATAAAGCGCCATCTGCACTATTTAGCTTCTCGGGGTCATTCGCTATTAAATATTAGGGCATTTTTTGAATTACTTCTTCTAAGACTTTGCATTGATTCTTGAGGCTTTTCCGTTCTTAAAGCATTTGTTATTGGTTCTTGAAGCTCCTTTTTTTAATAGAATAAAGTAACTAATGGAATAATTTCTTTATCTGAATCCTTTTGGTATTAATTTCTGAGGATCATCTGAATTTATTTTTTCTGAAGCTTCTGATAGCCTGTAGGGCGAGGGTTTAATTAATCACAAGCCCATAGGGCGAGGGTTTTTTTCTGGTGATATGCACAAAGGATTTTATTTTATAATTTTTTGTTACATTTTTCTTCGTCATTTCTCATTTTTTCCTTGACATCTTTGCCTATTCCAGGCTCTTGAATGTTTGTTTTCTCCCAAACGGAAACATACAGAAAACTCAAGGGCCTGGCATAGCAACAAAATTATTAAAATTCGAGAGCTAGGAACAAAAATAAAAAAAGTCCACTGCCTAAAAAAAGGATTGAGGGAAATTCAAGACCTTCGAATAAATTGTCAATTTTTCCTTCCTTATTCCTTATACTTTTCTTAACAACAGTCATCAAATCCAGGCTCTTGAATTTCGTTTTTTTTCCAAACGAAAACATAAAGAAAATTCCAAGGCCTGGGTATGAAAAAATAAGGAAAATTCAAGTCATCATTACCAGAAAAATGTGCTGCATGTAATTCTGAAGAACACCAGGCATGGTCAACGAAATATCCAAAAAGACCTCTTAAACCCATTGAGGGGATTCCAAGTACGGAGATTAAAATCCTAAATAAAATCAGCAAGGACATTCATTCCAAGCAGCACACCTGATATAATATTATGCACTCAGAATATTAGGAAAAACATTAATACGTCATCAACATCAGACCTAGGAAGTGATCATCTCAGTATACTATGGACTCTGGATGCTACAATATCTCCAGAAGATAACTACATAGGAGAAACAAAATATATTATACAAAAATGTGAAACTGATGTAAATCAGAAGCTGGGGGAGTTTTTACATGAAGAAGAAGAAATTAATGGCAATTTGTCGAAATTAGTTACTT